CTCAGGGAAAGTAGAAGTGAATTCTGGAGGAGAATGGATTCCAGTATCTGCTGTGAACTTCACATTCCCCAATGCCCAGGTCATCTGTGCAGAGCTGGGGTGTGGCAAGGCTGCATCTGTCCTGGGAGATGTGTCTCTCACAGGAGACACTAGACAGGTGTTGGCTGAGCAGTTCTTATGTGGAGGCCAGGAAACTATGCTGAAGAACTGTCCCAGAGTGACCTTCCCTGGAGGCAGCAGCTATAACAGGCAGACTGTTCAAGTAATTTGTTCAGGTGAGATACTCAGGTGTGATTGTACCTTCCTGAATACTCTGTTTTGGTAAGAAACATATGAGATGTTGTTAAAACACTGTCTTCTTTTACCAGAGTATGTAGAAGTCCAGCTAATGAAAAATGGCACATCTCAGTGTGAGGGGCAGGTGGAGCTGAATACTTCTGTGGGCTGGAGAGCGCTCTGCTCTTCCCACTGGAGTATGGCCAATGCTCAAGTTGTGTGCCGCCAGCTGGGATGTGGAGTTGCCATTTCCATCCTAGAAGGAGGAGAGTATTTTGTGGAAGGTGGTGGTGAGATCTGGAAAGACAGACTCCACTGCTCAGGGGATGAATCCTTATGGAATTGTCCTGCGACTGCCCTGGGTGTACCTGTCTGTGTTGAACCTAACACAGCCTCTGTGGTCTGCTCAAGTAAGAGAAGAGTCAATGTAAGTAGCTAATAAGTACTTCAGATACTCTTGAAGTCCCACATATTTGAGAGCAGAGAGCAGGAGAACTGACTTCAAAGCTACAGTGACATAATTTTCTTATTCATGATTAAGCATTCAGTTCAAGGGAAGAATATTCAAATTAATAGTTTAAATAAATGTTACTTAATTTCAATTAATACAAAACACTCTATAATATAAATTTAGAGTCAATTAGGTACCTCTTCTCATATCATCATATAGAATATTAGCAGTTTCCCCAGCAATATGTTAGCTATTGAAATACCCTGATGTAAAAGCAAGAGTTGGACACTATGTGAAAAAATATATTTATCTTTTTATCTTGCTTTTCTATTGAAAGAATCAATATGGTTATTTTTGATTGACAGGATATTTTTCTAGATAACAAATCAGAAAAATACTTCAGAAAGAGTTAATTTTTCTTCTGACAAAGTGCTTTAGGGTAAATCACATTAAAATTGAATTGTTTTGAAAATGAGTACCTATGATAGCGAAGAATAATCACCCTTTAATTTACCCTTTCTTTTGTGATACAATATACTTGCTTCTTTAACATATTTTAACACAGTTAACATATTTGGTTGTTTAACAAACATGCTTGGCTCTTATCTACGGGCAACCTCAAGTTACATATGTGTTATGCAGTGCTGTGTATCTGTCAAATATTTTTTGACATTTTTCATGTCTTGACAACTACCTGTGAATAAGTAGATTTTTAAAGAAGAGTGTTCACCTTGCCTTTCATATCTCAATGGTATTTTGGCTCCAAAAATCCTTGTTTCCTGGGCATTCTGCAATTATTTCAAATGTTAACTATTTCTGTTGTCTTAGTCATTCTTAGTGTTTTGCTTCAAACAAAAGGTCTGGTAAGGTCAAAATAAAACATTTCCATGTAGAAGTGAAGCTCTGAAGACAGGAAATCATTGCTTCTGTTTCACAGTTTCTATCTTAGATAACATCATTTATCTACCATTGATGTAACAGATTTCCTTTCTCTCACCCTGTGTATAGGAAACCAGACCCAGCTGCTCCCTCATTGTAAGGACTCACTGTCTGATTCAACAGGCTCCACAGCCTCACCCATACAGGCTATCAGCTGCTCAGGTGAGGATGTCCCCAAGACAGAACGTGCTCCTTCCCATGTCAGCACCACTGATCTGACTCTGTTTCTCCTCAGATAGCAGAAAGCTGCGCCTGGTTGATGGGGGTGGTCGCTATGCAGGAAGAGTGGAGATCATGCATCAGGGATTCTGGGGCACCATCTGTGATGACAGCTGGGACCTGAAAGATGCTGACGTGGTGTGCAGACAGCTGGGCTGTGGAGTGGCCCTCAATGCCACAGCCTTTGCCTACTTTGGTCAAGGATCTGGGCCTATCTGGCTGGATGAGGTGAACTGCACAGGAGAAGAGTTACAAGTTTGGAAATGTCCTTCCTTGGGCTGGGGAAAACACAACTGTTGGCACAAGGAAGATGCAGGAGTCATTTGCTCAGGTCTGTGTTCACACTGTCCACAAATGGGAGGAGGAGGGAAGATCATCTGGATGGCTTCTGACCATAAGATGAGAGTAGAGACAGTAGCTGAATAGTGCAGAGGTTGGAAGGCTCCTTTCCCAGTGTTTTTCTGTCTAGCAGAAGAAAAATGAAGTGCTATCACTTCTTATTGCATTTGAGCTTCTTGTCCATTCGTCCCATCTCTTTTACCTGACAGGACGGTCATTTCCTACAGTGTTCATCAGTTCCCTGTGGCTACAAACATTGTATCCCACTGTATTAGATTCCTATTGCTGCTGTAGCAAATTACCACATAGTTAGTAACCTCACATTACCCTTGTTTAGTAGGAGTTACCCCACAACAGGTTGTGCTGTAAACAATGTGTCAGTAGGGCTACATCACTTTTATGCTCAGGGTAGACTTACATCCATCCCTCTTCTAGCTTCTATAAAATGCTTACATTCCTTTGATCCTTCAAAATGAATGCATTACAACTTTCTGACCATATTTGTAAGATAATGTCTCCCTGTAAGGTCTCAAATATGTTATCTGATAGTTAGGATATAGTGCAAGGATGCTATGAGATACTGTTGACCTACTTAATCCAGAAACTTACCTATTCAGAGCTAAAGCATTTGACTGCAGAAGCCCACCTACTGATATTACTAGGGCAATATCTATCCTGAAATTTTTATTAAAATATTTTATTAGAAAGGTTATGGAAGAAATGGACAGGTTCATCTAACATATTTTACATATTTTAATATGCTACATAAATATTGATTTTCAATAAATTTAATGGGAAGAAAATAAATGTAAGTACACAAATTAATGCAGTGGAAACCAAGAAGACCATACAGAATCAACAAATTGAAGATTTTTTTTCTTTCAAAGATTAAACAAAATTGATAAACTGTTATTTAGCCTATCTTTACATCTAGAGTAAAGGTTCAAATTCAAGCAATTAAAAATGAAAATGTTGAAGTCACAACTGATACTGCAAACACCCAGATTATCAATACCTACATACAGATTCTCTAGTCTAATAATATGGAAAATATGGAAGAAATGGACAGATTCTTACAAGAAGCTATAAAAATTCTAAATAAGTCAGCATAACAACCATTGTTAATTTTTTATTCCAGTTTTAAAATTCTGTACCATATGTACTGTATGCTACTCTTTGTCCTCTGTTTGTGATATTTGTTTTTACTTTCATTCCTTAAAATAAAATTCAAAAAATAAAAATTAAGAAGACTATAAAAGAAGCAAAAGGTAAAGAAGTTTCAGTATTTCCATGTACAATTTACCTCTTCAGTTTTCACTTTGTATAAAATAAACAGCAGAAATGGATAATTGATTTTTTTTTTCATCATACAAAACTGCTGTATAGTGGTTTTTCTGGCGTTGGCTTTCTTGGGATGGATGATTGATTTTTATGCCTTGTTGTTT